TTTCAGTATACCCTAAGTGAGCACAGTACAAACGTCCGTATTAATTAATTGCTGATTTGCTAATTACTTATTGAATTTTTTTGCTCCAGAGGAAGAGTTTTGCGCAGGGCTCAGTGATGACCGGTGTTGACAGGTTTTACAAAAAACCCGTGGTGTTAATCTCAAATTACACCCTGAACAGAGATATTAGGTCTTACCTATAAAATTACAGTTAAGTATACAGAAAGTTAAATTCTTTTTTTTTATTCTGTGAATCGAATATGAACCCATGGTATTAATGCATTCCTGTCAGTGCAGTGGTAAATTTTCAACGGTCTTCTTGAAGAAGTCAGGTATACCTCTCGGCTATAGATTTTTTTAGAAATTGTATAAGTCTGTCGAAGCAAATTCTGGTGAGTATGGTGGTTGACGCGACACTTCCAACTCTTGAAGATTGGACATCGTGTATTATATCGTATTAGGTCGAGCGTTATCATTTATGAGCAGCGGGAACGAACGATTAATCAAGGCTGACCGGAGATTCGCGAGCTTCTCCATCATTGCGGCCAGATCTTTACAGTAAACATCCGCAATAACGCTGGTGCTATTTGGTAAGAAGCTGTGATGAAATATACCGGCACTAGTCCACGAAACATGATATTTTGGGCGTAAGATTTTGGGCATTGCACCTAGCTAAACCAGGGCTTAACCAACACGATAACCACTTATGATTTTTAAAAATATTGAATTTTTGCATCGCAAGTGACAATGCGGTTCAAAATCCCCCGCGTACCCCCTAAGTGTGGACACCTCGTAGGAGGTTCGACCACCTACCCAAGAAATAAAAAAGCCCGCATATAAATTAAGTTTCAAATGACCAGTATTGTACCATATAAACCATTTCACCACCACCACTTCATAGGTAAAGAAAACTCTATTATTAATATGACTGTTTCACATTATAACCGAATAATTTCGTCATTATTATAAGATAATATATTTTATTAAATTACTTTGTTACAATAATGTGATGCTTAATAATGATAATTTAGGAGATTAACGACAAAGACAAGGTTTTCCACCGAGCGGATGAAATTGCTCGGTATACCGACGGTCCGAACGTTCTTGTTCGGAACTTATCTTGAAAATGTCCTAAGCGGGATTCAGATATCTGTCAAATATCATGTGTTCTATGATGGCTACCCGCCACAGATAAGTTTATGTACAAACTAGTTTATTATTTTAGGTATTACCCGTCACATCATCTGTTCATCTATATATTAACACGTGAAGCAAAAACTTTGTATCCCTTTTTACGAAAATTGCGCGGACGGAGCAGTATGAAATTTTCCACACTTATAGAGAATATAGAGAAGAAGTGCACAACGCTAATATTTTTTTTAAATAATGCATAAAATATACATTAAATCAGTAAAGAAAACATTACACACACTACATACCATGTATTTTTCCCCAAGTGGGCACTGAAGCGCCTGAATAGCTCCTGGTGGAAGCCTCTACGGTGGCGGCGTGGGCGCCCATGCGTCCACACCCGGTCGAGGTCGAGGGAGAGGCAGGGTGGTTCCGGGACACGATGCGTCGCATCTGTGATGCGTCGATGCCCCGGATCGGCCCTCGACTTCCTAATCGCCAGGCGTACTGGTGGTCGCCCGAAATTGCGCAACTCCGCGTGGAGTGCGTTCGGGCGAGGCGCGAGTGCGCCAGGCATCGCCGCCGCCGCCTGCCGCGGCGCAACGATCCGGTTGCGTTCGCGG